CTATAGATCCCTTTAAAGGCACGCTATAGATCCCTTTAGAGGTTGGCTAGTGGAGAACAAAGAGGGGGTCACCCGGGCTCCCCCGCTTCCCGCGCGTGGCCATGGCTTGCGTAACCGCGCGGCCGCTGGGGAAAATGGACCGAAATTTGCCCAACGTAATGGCAAATTCAATAGCAATCATCATCATCATCATCATCCTAACACTAGTAATAGTAATCATCATAATCCTAGTGACACTAGCAATGGTATTCATCATAATATAAAACTAAGAACAATAGTAATAATAATAATAACCAAAATAGTAACAAAAGGGTGGTGGCAGAAATCGGGCTCGGAGCTTGCTCCGAAGGGGCAGAGTCGCTTCAACAGAAGTCTGCGGACAGTAGTGTTCTAGGAGTTCCGTAGGTCTTTAGAAGCCGGGCTGCTTAGCAAGCTAGCTTCCAGCTGGCTGGAAAATATGTTCTTCGAAACAACCAAGGAAAAACACGAGAAGTACTCCAATTCTTTGCATATCCATCCAATTTCAGACAGCAGGTTGTCAACCTTTAAAACAATTCAACTCGATGTCCAAGGCCTTGGATATTTCGTGGATGCGACCCAAGCAAAGGAATCCGCATGACACAAACCCCTTAACCAGGCACCCGTAAATTTCAGAAATCTCTGTGTAGTGTCGTGTGGCAATTTGAGGCCTATGTGCACAGCAATCCAGAGAAAGTACAAACTTAGGGCTGCATTTTTTGAATAGTGCCACCTTTGGATGTTCCTTAAGTTGAGGAGACACGGAATCAGGTCGCTGTTTCAAAACGCTGAGAAGAAACTAGCCAGGGAAGCACTGCCTACTAGAGGAGTGAGATTGCCATCTGGGTAAAATCAAGCACTCAGAGAACCGGCATGTGAGCTATGCCAAAGCCGTACCCGCTCGCAGCTTACTTTCAGGTTCAGGTATGGGTTTAGGGNNGGGTTTAGGGTTTAGGGTAGATATGAATGCTTTTAAGTTGGGCGGATCAGTGGCTTCCATCACGCATGAACCCTCAAACAACCCATGCTGCCACACTACTGAAGCAACGTTGATCTGAGGGGTCTTGTTTTCAAGCGATGGCAGATCATGCAGCTCACATTCGTGAGGCCGCGAAAGACATTATCAAGTAAGCTGCCTCAGCCACAAACCCACTGAGCTTGAGTTTCGGGATTAGGGAGGGTTGAGGTGGCGAAAAACATATCCAAAGCCTTGCGCACATCTATCGTGTCGTCAGGGTTACTTTCTAGGCGCCTCCCTTGAAAGAGTCTGGCACTCCTCTTGGGCCCTCCTAAAACCACCCGAAATTCGACAATTGCCGACACGAACAGCCAGGTGCTTGAAACCCCAACACCCAGTAGTCTCCTCCCTGCTTCATGAAGCTAGGGTTTAAGATTTAGGGTTTAG